GAACAGCATTACATATGCAAAAGAGTATATGTGGATTAAGATTAATATAAATTGGGCACTGTCATCAAGATATCTGTTACAAAACTGCACACAATTTACAATTTAACAGGAGGAAACATTTAATGTAATAAAACTGAACTGTCTTAAGAAGTGAAATTATATTTACCCTTGCAGTAATTTTGATCTTTAGCTTAGTCATGAAATAAATAGTACAGTATTCTTGTCATTCTGAAATATCAGCCTTTAACTTCTTTGAAACTATATTCTGTGCATAAAGAGGAGGAATTTAACAAGTTGTTCCTCATTCTTTACACAGTGTAAATTTAAATGTAAATAAAGATGATTCAGGTTTTATTTACTTTTGAGAAATTAAAAAAATCATTATAAATATCTCAAGCTGAACATTGTTGTTGACTTTGTGTTTATGTTATGTAATACATGCACAGTTATTTTACATCTGCCCCTTTCATTAACAGTTGTTTAATTTTTTTTCTCCATACCCTTTCAGTTGATCTTATAGGTGGCTTTAACATAGGAACCATCAGTCATGACACCAAAATTGACTGGCTGGAATTGAATGAGACTGGACACCAATTGCTGTTCAGGGACAAAAAATTACAGGTAAGACATTCTAAAATTTTAGTTCTATCAAAAATCGTCCTAGACCAAGAAACAAAACGAACAGAGTGAACAGGTGTGCAGTATAGTGTATGCATTGTCTTCCCTCTTTCCATTCAATTCTGCAATTTTCTGTTAGCATTCCTCCAGGTTCCTCAAACTTTTTAATGCAAATTGTCCTATGAACCACTTATATGATACCTCTGTCTATTCATATATTTCCTTGTGAAAATGCAATTCTGTAAGTTATCTCTTGAAATTGCTTTAATTTAGTAAACTTTTCATTAAATATGTTTGAGCCCAGTTGTGAAATTACAGTATATGTACATTGTCTGTATCTATTGTTTGTGAGTAATGATATATAGATTAATTGGCCTTCTCTTTCTCCAGTTGCAGTTATATGATATCGAAAATAGTGTCAAGACCACAGTGTTGAGTTTTTGCTCTTATGTCCAATGGGTGCCTGGCAGCGATGTGATTGTTGCTCAGAATAGAGGCAATCTCTGTGTGTGGTATAACATTGACAGTCCAGAGAGGGTCACTATGTTCCCTCTCAAGGTAAGGAAATATTAACAGCAGGTGATCCATCTGTGTACTTTCTTAAGTATTAAGGACAACTTATACAGTATGGTACTGTAGCTTTGTTTAACAGTGCTCTTTACTTGGAAGATATCTACTGTAAATTTACTTTCCATGTGTAACTTTAGCCTTAAATGATTTATTTAACTGTTTTTTGGGCATGTCTTTAGATTATTACAACACTGTATAATCTGACTTTAGTATCCTTATTCTAAAATATATATTCATGTAAAATTAATAGTGTTTATTTTCTAATTCTAATTATATGTAGAAGTAACCTCTGTGAAAAATGTTTAAAAATCATGGATAGTCACTTCTTATTTCCCAGTTATCCATATTTTGAACATGTGTATTATCTAGTGATGCTTAATTTTTAGAAACACTTGTGAGTCTTAGTGATCAAAACATAAGGGTATGTATTATCCTATTATAGATTACTTAAGCATCAGCTTACGTTGTCAGAGTAAGAGCAGATGTATTTGATATTCATTTTCAAAATAAATGTACTTGAATATTTATAAAAGGCTCTAACTTGCAAGCCAAAATATTTTGCAGAAACAATATAACATACTGTATAATAATGAAAAGAGAAGAAAACACAACGTTTTGGCCATGGAGCCTTCTTCGGGTGTGAGCTCATGTTGTGTTTTCTTTCTTCTCTTTTCAGCATAGAATAAACCTATTACTTGTTCCTTTGCAGCCTACGCATACTGACGCAGCTACCCTCCTGAGCTTAATATAATAATGCACAGTGTTAAACACTGTCCATCAAGTAGAAAGTTTACCTGTTTAAAATACAACAAATTGTGGTAAACAAGCAAACTGCAAAGAGATATCTTCAGATTGTGTTTGTGCCATTTGTAGGGTGACATAATAGATCTGGAGAGAAGCAATGGTAAAACAGAGGTCATTGTGACTGAAGGTGTGAACACTGTGTCATATACTCTGGATGAGGGACTCATTGAGTTTGGCACAGCCATTGATGATGGAGACTTTTACAGGTATGAGAACATCACATATAGATGGCAATGTAATTGTACTGTATGTGTTTTTTGGACACTTAAAGTGACAATTATGTTTCATTGTTGATGTGTAAATGTAGCTTTACAAGGCCTGAAATGTGATCAAAATCCATTGATAACAGGAGCAAAGTTTGGTCTAGTGTTTTTTTAGGAGATGTTAATCCTGCTGATCTGTCAGAATGGAATACAAATAATTCAAAACCTAAATTATTAATGTGCAAAATGAATAAACCTTTGCCAATAACTTCTATGGTTAAGTGAAAGAAATCTTTGTTATTGACATAATATTTTATTTTAGGGCTTCTGCTTTCCTGGAGACCCTTGAAATGTCAACAGAAACTGAGGCCATGTGGAAAACTCTGAGCAAACTCTCGCTGGAAGCCAAACAGCTGCACATTGCAGAAAGGTCAGTGCACTGTCTCTCTGAATGCTGAGCCTCTGCAGCCCACAGGAATGTTGGTAGCTAAACAGTCCAACAACTTTTTAGCTTGTGAATGAACAAGGTTTCCTGAAAGTAGTTCAGACTTTTATGTCTATTCTTTGACTAATAATAGTCTATTTTGAAATTTGAAGACTGGAAGCAAATACCAAGGCCTTGGAGTATGATGGGGGGTCTAGCTAGGGCTCTTTTTGTCAAGAAATCAAAATAAGGACCTTGTATGATAAATACCACTGTTTATTCTAAAATATGAATAGCATAGCTTTTAAGTAAACATATTTAGTGTTTGCATTATCATCCAACAGATCCTCTGCGTAAAGATGTTGAACTTGAACTTGACTAATGTTTCCTCTGTGTTCCTCATCAACTAGATGACTCCTAGTTGATATCTATTTAGTAAAATATATCAATATATTCCTCTTATGTTAGTGCTTGGTTGATATTACAAGTCTATTCAATCCTTATTTGATTCTTAACCTAGGGCAAAGAGGCATTAGAACTAATCTCATCAGGGCAAAGTAATACAGCAGTGTGCCAAGCTTCCTTACGGTATACAGACCAGGGATAAAATCATAGAAAAGTGTTCAGACCAACTGATGTTGCATGATTCCGGGACATGGGAGGAAATTGGAGTTCCTGTAGAAAACAAAAAAAAAAGTAGAACATGCAACTTTCATAGAAATTTCAGTCTAAAATCAACACAGGAATCTAAAGCTATGAGGCAGAAATGCTAACGCCCCGGATGCATTTATATCCAGTTGAAAAATTAATCTTCAAGCAAGTCTTGACTTCAGCATTGCAGCTTAATTGCTTTTTAAATACAAAAGTTACAATTGTTAAGCCTAATGGCTTTCTCTTAAAAAAAATTGGGGAGGCAATCGGATGAGGAATTTCAAAAGTTCTTTGCTGTCTTGGGTCCAGTTTACAATTAAATGTTTACATTTTCAGCTAAAATAAACGCTTCTTTTCAGAGTGATGTATTACTAGTGGCAATCATAGAATTATTTAGACTCATCTAGAACATTGCATACTTTTTCTGCACTCATCATTCTGTTGTTTTCCTAACTTAACATATCTTTGGGTCACTTTAGTACAACCTGTACTAAAGAAATATACATCTCAATGCTGTTTTTCCATTAATATTGAGTGGATGGATTTGCATGAAAGACAAACCTGCAAAGTAAAGCAGTGTAGTCTAAGAGAGACTACATGAAGGGATTAAAACAAGCTTTCAGTGAAAAAAAACTGTTTTTCATTCTGACTTACCCTTGGACCGAAGTATAATGTTTAGAAACATCTGTCATTGATAAAAGTGTAATTCAGTAATTGTAAATATTATTGGTAGTAGTCAATATTAATTTAAAACTAATATTTCATAATAATATCAGATTATTTAAATCATGTCAGTTTTATAACTTTCAGAATCTTGAAGCAGAGACTTAATTATGTCCCATTTATCCCCCAGTATCACATTTATCGTGCTGTTACTATTACTTATTTTATGTATCTGGGTACTCTGGTTTCCTCCCACAGTCCAAAGACATATACAGTAGGTACAGTAAGTTAATTGGTACAGTAAGGATGCTTTCTGACCTTTATTTCACATGCAGCAGTGTTTGTATAGGGTTCTTGAATTGAATAGTAAATGGCAGAACACTAACAGATCTTAACAGAAATTATGTAACAGAATATGAAAAAAATCAGTTAATGAATGAAAGAGCAGTGGTGTATGCTGACCTGTGTGTTGCTATTATGGTAATTATGTATTACAAGTAGTCCAGATGTCAGTGTATTATGAAAAGGACCTAGCAAAATAACCGTGGTTACAGCCCACAGATCTCCAGATGTGTATAAGGCTACTACAATAAAATTGATCCAAATAATAACTCTCAACACTTCAGCTGTGGGCTAATGAAATTACATAATAGTGAGAGGCAATAATGTTGGTTTATAGTTGACTCATTTAAAGATCACTTTAATTGTTATGAGTCTATTACAAATGGGCAAAAAGGGACATTTTTTTCTAAGGAAGCTTAGCTTGTTTAAGATGTAAATATCTATCTTCATTTTTAATAAATCTCATATTGAAAGTATCTTAATATACTGTTTTATCTTTTCATTTATTAACACCAGTAGAGAAAATTGTGATTGCTTGAGAAAAACAGTGAACTTTAGTAGCAAAATTATTGACATATTTGAGCATAATAAGGTCAGCCTTTTTGAAGCTTCTTTGAAATCTCATTAACCTCTCCAAAATGGCCCCGTCTAAAAAACTTTAGAAGCTAAGAGATTTACAGAAGGCTAACAATTTTATGGGTGGTGTGTCACACCACACCCACTATGAATTTACACTATTCCCATCTGGGGGGATTGTCTGTGTCCCAAGGTGTAAGATTGATAGAAAGTCCTTTATCACACTATGCAATTTCTCTTTTGAGAAGGTGAAGTTAAATAATTTTCTTATTATATTTTTTCAGAGGCTATGTTCTTGATTATTTAGTAAGTGATGGTTTTTATGTTGTATTTTTGTGCTGGTCTCTGCCATGAACCAAATTACCCTAATAAGGCAATATAATAATAATACAGTTTAAACTTAATTAACTTAAAAACAGATCTTCAATAAGAACAAACTCTGAAAGTTTTCCCTGTACAGTTTCACATTAATAATTAAAGGAAAATACAAATGTAGATCAGTGAAAATGAATAAGCTTTAACAGAAATTAATCTATTAATATTATTTGGGAATTAACAATTGCATTATTAATATTACATATCATCTTTGTTTAACATTTTTACATATTAAATATAATATAATTTAATAATATTACTTGTATTATAAATATAATACAAAAATATTTACAATCAACCGTTTTCAAATGCCTGTAGTGGTCCATTGCTACTTGGAGAATGTTAAGTGAATGGCTGGATTGTTGATTGCCTAATGATTCGTCTCATCTGTTTCATTTGAATTAATTGACTTGATTAAAGGTTTGACACAGCTATCAAATTTATCCATTGTTGAAATCTGTGAATTTGTCAGGGCTTTTATTAAAATATATTTTGATTGTGCTTTTCATGAAGATCTGCATCAGCAGCAATAACAACAAAGAAATCAACGTGTTTTTCCATGTTTTTAAATGCACTGTATAATATTTTTCTCTTAGGTGTTTCGCTGCCCTGGGAGATGTATCAAAAGCTCGATTTTTGAATGAGACTAACAAACTTGCAGACCGAATTGCGAAAGAATATGTATGTAAATTTTGTTTTAACTTGTCCATTGATTTAAGCATTGATTCACATGTAATATGATTTGTGTGTCTGATACTCCAGACTCAAAGTGTAGTGTATGTTTTTTTCGTTCCCGTTGTGCTTGGGGTATTGACTTACTGCACTTCACTGAGTTGACCCCATTCTCTAGGGAAACTTACAGACTTGGAATCCCATGTAGGGGAAAACAATTCCGCCAGCTGGGGTGTGCTGCCTTGGGGCTACCATCCCTGGCTCAGAGAGAATGTAGACTGACTTTTCCCTTTGGATAGTATAACTGGCACTCGAAACCAAGCAACAGCATGCCACTGATCCACAACTGAACATCTGCAAACATCTGCCGTTTTTCAAGCTGTGCCAACAAATTCATTTTTGTTTTCTTTTTTTTTTTTTAAAGGATTGCCAAGTTTGTATAGCCAAATAATGACTGCAGGTGTGTCATGGAAATGCATCAGACTCACCCTGTTTTGTTTTTACTACTATTACTATCCATCTCTAACAAAGTTATAACCTATGCAAAAGGGACTCTCTATTGTTGACAGTACAGTTGACAGGCATCTGAGATGCTAAATATATTATCGAACTTCACTTTTATAAGCTGAATTGAAAGGTTGGCCAGTAGATGGTAGTGTTGTGGTTTTGTATGGACAAAAAAATAATAGGAGGAATATTTGGGCATAGAGAATTGTCTAGAGTTGCCTGATTATAGTTTGGAACCATGGACCCTAATGTTCACGTTCATGAAATGCTTTGTTTCCAACTGGAAAAAAAGTAGCCTTGCATTTGTATTTTTATTCAAGTGTTAGTAAAGTATTCATGCTTTGCTTTCAGGGTGGTGATGGCACGGAGTATTACCAAGTGAAGGCCCGCCTGGCAATGCTTGAAAAAAATTACAAACTAGCCGAAATGTATTATTTGGAACAGGTAAATTTTATGTGGCAGTATTTTTATGTTTAAGTTCCATTTGTTTGCTGGAGTCTGCATTATGGCTGGCTTCAGCTTCAAAGTAATTTGACTTCATTGATGTGCAACAGATGCGCACATCAGTGTTTTTCAGCAAGCCGGTATAAGTAACAATTAAAACAAGTGCCTATGATGACAAAAACAAAATTGTGCTTGTTTAAATTTTAAAAAGCAATTGACAGAAAACCTAAGAAATTGTATTTCTGTTTAGATTAATTTGCCTATTGCCATTTTGAATGTCACTGTACAGGCTGACACATAACACCTTACAGAGTTGTTTTTGAGATGTTTCAAACACAAGAGCTATTTTATACCTTTTTGTGTTTTTATGTCCTAGAATGCCATTGATGAAGTGATGGAAATGTATCAGGAGCTGCACATGTGGGATGACTGCATTGCTGTAGCAGAAGCCAAGGTAGTACATTTTTCTACTTTTACATTCTACCACTTTTTCCTTTTTATTTTGTTGTCGATTCTGGTAATCACGGTTAAAATAAAAATAGCAACAGCACTTACTACACAGAAAGAATGGTTTAAATAGATTTACCTCTGAGAAGTTATAAAACCTTTAGATTAAGTGTAGTTGATCTTTAAAGTATTTTGAGTTTAAAATGTCATACTACAAAATGTGTAAGAAAGACTCTGTGGTAGAATTATTTAGAAAATCCTCCAGTTTATTCCAGTTCAAATTAGGTATTATCAGAATTCAGATGCAGACAAACTTCTAGTGGCAGGGTAAGTTAAACTGTACTAATATTTGCAGCTCATTTAAGGATATGCCTGTTTGGACATCTTTGTTTGCAGGGCTATAAGATTTAACAACGTTTGGCATCTGTAATCTGAAACTATAGAAAAAGAGCACCATCTTCCTATTGTTTGAAGTCTTTTAAATTATAATCTTAAATAGTTAATATAGTTAACATTATTTGTAATATTATTTATGTTTTAAATTGATTGAGTTATATTCTTAAAAGCCACTCAACATATACTGATAAAGCCTGGTATATTATTAAAAGTCACTTAACATATAAAATGGATTGTCAGTATTGGGTGAGCAGAGTCCCAAAGAAGAAGTAATACTGCATCCTTATGGAATACAAAGGCCACATGAATCTGTGCAAACTGAAAATGACATGCACTGTACATTTGCTCTCTTTCTTTGTCAACCATTAACCTTGAACCCTTGGGTTTATTGTTTTTATCATGTGTGAATTATGTTAAAAGGAAACACCTAGTTATCGCTAATATTTGTAATATTGGATAACTTACCTCTGGGTACAATTCTGCATTGTTTTAGGGCCACCCTGAGCTGGACAACCTAAGACGAAGTTACTACCAATGGCTGATGGAAACTAATCAGGATGAAAAGGCCGGTGAGGTGAAGGAAGGCGAGGGAGACTATTCTAGTGCCATTAACCTGTACCTGAAAGCAGGTCTCCCTGCTAAGGCCGCCCGCTTGGCAATGAGCCAGGATGAGCTCATTGCCAATAGTGATGTCGTCAACAGGATTGCTTCTGCCTTGATCAAAGGGGAGTTCTACGAACGGGTAAGCATTCTGTTGCTATGCTTCCGTGGTGCAACTAGCTAGACTAATACAGAGCCTTACTATATAAAAATAAGTGGCATGGACATAACACTAATATCTACAGAATGTAGTGCCAAGCACAAAGCACAGACCCAGATTCAGCAATATTCTATAGATTGGCCATGTGTATCTCGCAGTTGACGCATGTGTAAAAGGCTTATACCGTATAACTCTTAGAACACTACCTCTTTGAATGCCATTTTGGTATTCTCTTTAGAAGAAAACACTTAATCAAAAAAGAAATGCAGAAATAATTTTATTGTCTTCAGTACTTTACTTTACTTACCCTGTGTTTTCACTTTTTTACTGTAGACCCACAATGTCTGGAAAATGGAGCTGATAATGATATTGTTGATAATGGTACAATTATGCTTTATTGTATCAGTCAGATCTAAAAAGCTTCTATCAGGATCACCTTAGAATCATGTTATGCTGGCTTCTTTGTATATTGTTTCTACGAGTGTTCAACTTTTCGATATATGCATATAGTTATAAAAGGAATGTACCTAGTTACACCCCAAATGTTAAACTATTCTAAGAAGACAAGAAAACTCCATCCTGTTTAGGGATGCTCATTCTAGCCTCCTGCAACCACTGCTTTAGCTCCAACCAAGAAACAGTTGTGTTTTATTGTTTTTTGAGACTAACTTATTTGGTCTCTTAGCTTTTCAAAAGAACTGCCAAGACTCTCCTGACCTGACAGGTGAATTAATATTAAGATGACTTTTGTAAATTTGTAGGCTGGAGATCTGTTTGAAAAAATCAGAAACTACCAGCGAGCCCTTGACTGTTACCGCAAGGGGTTCGCCTTCAGAAAAGGTAAACAGTGTGCCAGCACAGAGGAACATTTCTTACATTTTCATAAAGAGATATACTGTATCTCACAATAGTTTTTAGGTAAATATTTAGAAATATTTTTTTTTCTTTAGCCTTAGAAGTCTTTATTTTTTTAATATGGTCCAACTGATCTGTTTTGTACACCTTACTTTTATGTATAGACAGACACTTTTGTTCTTTGGTGGCATTATTATTATTTAAAAAAAATAATTATACATATCCACCATTTAGAAGCTGTTATTAAACATGAATCATTTAATACCATTTGTTTTATCATAGTTGCTAGAACATATGCCTGTTTTAGCTATTGAAGACTAATTTTGCTGTTTTGTGAAGAGAAGCTTTCACATTCACACTTCTATTGTGGTGTTTTGAAGCTGTGGAACTGGCTCGATTTGCTTTTCCTGCTGATGTTGTGAAGCTAGAAGAGGCATGGGGAGATTACTTGGTCCAGCAGAAGCAAATGGATGCTGCTATTAACCATTACATTGAAGCTGGGTGAGTCTCTCTGTGTGTTCTCTCTGAATGGACAAATTTAATAGGGTGACAGCACAAAGGGTTTGTAAAAAAGAGAGTGAACGTGGGCTTGTTTGGAGAATAACATGAATACTAATTTCTTCTATAATCAAATTCAGGTGCTGTTCATTACAATTCACAGTGATTTGCTCCCAGGGGCAGTTTTCAGTAGATAGTAGAGTGTATTTTCATTGCCTGTCTGCAGCTGAACAAAGCTCTTCTATCCTCAAGGTCCTGTCCAAGATATTTAATCTACTAGTGTTGATAATTGAGTGCTGCAGACCCTAACTAATCCAACAGTAAGGGGAAGCACTCTGACAATCTTCGAACACTCAGGGTCAAAAAGACTTCTTTTGAGTAAAACAATAAAATCTCACACATATACATATACCTTTCCTTCATTATTCCTTATAATGACTGGACTTTTTATCTGTGTTTTATAAATTATTCTTATTTTTCATACCAAAATCTTTAATTCTGTTTTTTTTTCTTCCAAGTTGCTCATCAAAGGCAATTGAAGCAGCAATAGGGGCACGTCAATGGAAAAAAGCAGTCAATATTTTGGAACTGCAGGATGACAAGTCATCAATGAAGTACTATTTGAAGATAGCTCAGCACTATTCCTCCATTCAGGAGTATGAGGTAAGCTAAATTAGACGTGGACCCTCAGCTCTGGTTGCTGTAAATAAACGTTCTAAAATTAGTTTTCCTGCCTTCGTTTTTTTTCTGTGTCCCTTACAGTAGTATATGATTTCATAAACCTGAATTTAAAAAAGTATTTTGAAATGACTGCACTACAGTGAATAACTGATTTTATTGTTAAATGGGAAAAAAAGAATAAAGGTTCCCAAACCTATGCCTATTACATTTACCCCATTATTCTGCCTTCATGTTATTATTAAATGTTCAGGTTAGCTAGCATATTCAACACTAAGCTGAGAGCTGTGTTCCATCTCTGTTTGCTCCTGGTCAAGCTGTATTTGTAAAAATGCTTTTCAAGTGGTTTGCTTTATCGAGAAAATCTGATTAATGAAGGTTGGTTAACAGAGTTAAATGTAAGAATAAAACTGTTCCAGTGCAATGTTTCATCTGCAGTGGTGTGTAGCGTGTACTCATGACAAAGATCACAAATCATGGTTTCTAAATAGATTGAGTTGATTTCTACCATAGTGAAAGCTGCTGGAGGAAATGTGTGAGAGATTTTGTCACAACTTAATTTTGATGTAGACTTTGGGTGTAGAATGTATAAACAGTTCACTTGGAAACTCAGAACTTGTGCCTCACCAAAGAATATTCTGAACTTAACTTGCTACTTCCCCTTTATCCTTGAAATGATTGCCTTCTTTCAGGGTCTTACTGTGCCACTTTATTGGTTAGAGTCACAAGTCCATGACCAAGGAACCAAAGGAATTGAGCTTGGTCTGCAGTCAAGGGGTTTCTTGGCTCACACAGTTAGACCATGCTGTCTTGCTTTCAAAAGCGCACAGTGTGTGCAAAACAATTACCTTCTGCAGTGTTTTGGGATTGGGGTTTTACAGAACGGTCTGCTGGCAAATTGTTCTAAATAACAGGACTCATAAGTGTAAGTCTCTTGACAGTGTGAGAAAGCTTGCTGAATGTTAATGAATACATTACATTGAAATATAGCATATGTTTCTTTTTTATGTGCAGGAGCAAATTATAACTTCATGTAGCATGTGCCAATTTTATGTATTTAAATTTAGGTGGCTGAGCGCTTCTACATTAAAGGCGGGCATATTAAAGATGCTATTGATATGTACACTCAAGCTGGACAATGGGAACAAGCTCATAAGGTACCATATTATTTTCTGTTTTGAAAATATAAGTAGGAAATGTAGGTAGCTTAAAAAAAGCAACTTTTGGAATGACATTGGGGAGAGAAACAGTGGATGAGAGGGAAAACTGAAAAGATTCAGGACACAGCAGCAGCAGTAGTTAATGGACAGCACGATCCATTTAGATGCCTTTTGGGTGTTGAGCACCCAAAGTATCAAAAGTATCAAACTCTCCCTACTTTACTACAGAGTTCAGTCTGTGTACTGATAAAGTATTTTAAAATATTTTTCTTGTATTTAGACTTAGTCTGTGAACTAACATGCTTTAACTAAGGTTTGCTGGCCAAGTATGGGCAGTCACAAAACATTTAAAAATGTAAAAAGGTTATGTCTTTTTCTGCATGCCTCTTGTGAACAGTTTCATTTCAGTGCTTTTTTGTGTACACTCCCATGGGGTATTCAAGGTGAGAAGAGTGTTGTAACGTTGGCTTTAATTGTAACCCCTGCAGCTGGCAGTGAAGTGTATGACGCAAGAGGACGTCTCTGCTCTGTATATCAGCAGGGCTCAAGAGCTGGAAAAACAGGGAAAATACAAAGATGCTGAGAGGTAAACTGAAGGACATGATATTTCTATGACTCATTTTTTATTTTTGGTTTATATTATCATTAGAAAATGCAGGTATGAAATACACTGTACAGTGGTATTTACAGAAACAATATCTGAAAGTTCTGGCAAGGTGCTCTGTTTGTCAACCACTCTTATCTAATTGACCCCTCCAGCTACTACAGTATATTCTATATAACATGAGTCTTGGAATGAATACTTAGAGCTTAAAAACAAAACTAACAATTCCTACTATAATCATATTGAACGACTGGACCAAATCAAAATAGTGATTGCTTCAACCACTTCAAGACAGATCTTCTTTAAAATTGAATTGGCTCCTCTTTAGGCTATATGAAGGTAGATTTCAGGAAAATCCTTCCATCCATTATAAAGTAATCATAGCAATGGGAAGCCTTCAAGAGAAATGAGCTGCAGTGCCAGGCTATGGGATGGGATGAAAGGTAAAAGATAAATTCCTCTTATGGTCTTTTGAAATGTGGCTGGTACTGGTAGCATTATAACATTTCAATTTAATAGAACATGTAGTTCGAGAGATACGATAATGCTGACTAATATAAATCCTTCTAGAGAAGACTGGGTTCTTCACTTAGAGGAATAAAATAGCAACCTCTACAGACTTGGAAAACTTTAGAAATAAAATTGCTATTATATATCAAAATGTTGCTATAGACTTTGACAATGGAATTTACTTCTGTCTTATTGTGTTCATTTTAATGTAATAGAATTTAAATTTTGTAATGCAAATATCATCTGTTTTTGTATTATAAAATATAACATATTCCATAACATAAAATATAAAATATATTCCATGTTAACATTTCAATATTAAAACTACAGATGATAATTACCCTCATTTTTCTGCTCATTGCAGATAAAAGGATGAACTCCTGTCCTTTTTAAGTTTAAGTCATATTTTTACATTTCAGATAAATTTTTCTCTCTTTGTTCAACAAAGTCCTTAGCAATTTATTGAATTAAATTGCCCAGGACAGTATGAAACTGATTTTGTTGTTGTGTTTCAGTATTTCATTTCTGGAATTGGAAATAACACCGTTATGTTCTTCATAGGCTTTTTGCGACTGTGGATGAACCAGATTTAGCCATAACAATGTACAAGAAAAATAAAATGTATGATGATATGATCCGTTTGGTTGCAAAACATCACAGAGACCTGCTAACAGAGACGCATCTGCATCTGGCTAAGGTAGGAGGATTCTTCATTTAGTTTGTACATTTGCTAAACATTCTGCAATATTTGTTGCATCTTAGCAGAGGTGTAAAATAGTGAATCATAGTTAAATTCATGTACAATAGGCAAAATGTGTAAATGTATACTTGGTCCTTTAGAAGATGCTATTATCTTTATTATTTGCAGGGACCCATAGCCGGACTACAACAGCTTCTGTAGAGTCACTTACAATAGGACCTGAGTCTTATTTCTTCTCCAAAATATAGGTAAAAAATAGGAAGGTTCACCCTTGGGTGGTAAATAGCAAAGAAAACATATATACAAGAAAATTTGCATCTTGAAGACATTTTACTTCCACCAATACACTGAGGTTTAAATGCGTTTTTATATTGTGTCTGAGAATTTGATCTTTTCAAGGAATTGGAAGGAGAATCCAGGTTTCAGGAAGCTGAATATCACTTCTTGGAGGCCAAGGAATGGAAGGCAGCAGTGAACATGTACAGAGTCAATGACATGTGGGATGAAGCTTACAGGGTATGTCTAAGTATTACTTCTGTCATCCCACAAATCAAAATTTAAAATCATTTTCTGTTTTGTTTAGTGCATTTTCACCATTTGAAAGAGATTTTCAGTCAGATTTGTGTTCAGTGAAAAGGTTCAGAAGTTAATCACATTCTAGATAGATGGTAAAATTTAGTTTACAGTTAATGTAAATTAAATAATATGGGACTAATTTCAAGCTATTTAAATTTTCAAGTTTCACTGCAAGGAATATACTGCTTGTTTCAATAACCTGTACTTTAGGGTGGCTCAATAGGGGAAAGGCTGTACTGATCAGTATGCAGCTAGAAAACAGTGTCTCAGCGGTAGTAGAGAGAGTAAGGAGTTAACAGAAAGTGTGTTTTCTGTTTAGATTTGAAACAGAAAAAGCTAAATAAGTCACTTACAGGTGAAAAAGAATGGCTATAAAGAATGAGATTTAAGAAAGTCAAACTTCACACAACATTTATATAATAATTGGTTTTAGAATGGATGCAAATAGGTGTTTGACACTCGTGGAAAAAAATGCTTTGTAAACATTCTATGCATGTATATTTTTAGATCCATCTACAAGAGTTTAATCATTTGCACCTTTTATATTACTATCCTTCCCGGAGGAGTATGAGTTAAAGAAAATCTGAAAGGTTTCAAGTCAAAGTACTGTAAACGGTAACAAGAACCCGACCTTTGTAAAAAAGATAGTCAGTTTGACACTGCTGTTGTTTTGTAGTCGGTCATAGTTATCAGTACAATGTCACAGCAGTGTTGTGTATTGAACAGCTTTATCCAGACTTTGGCCTGTTCAATGTCGAAGAAGCAATTGACAGAATAACACTATGACATTCTGAGATGAGTGTGTAAGCTTTGGCACCCTGCATGCCTTTTCTTTTATTTGCTCATCCTTTTGTATGACTTTTTCAATATATCCTGACTCCATACAGTGTTACTACTGGAATTGGCCACTAAAGCAAATCAAAACTGCACAGAAGCTGGAATCTATAAAGTGATCACCATTCACATCAGGAAATGTGTGGGTCACATAAAATGTGTCTGCCTAAGTTAAGAATTGAACAAATAAATAAAAACCTTCAGTAAAGTCAGGTCCACTTTGAACTTTATGAAACCACCTTTACTTACAGAAGGTTTTATTTAATTTCTGTGATAAAGGTATAAGCTTAAAACTCAAGGCCATAGAAAGGCAATAGAATCTTACAGTATTAAAACCTCCAAAACAAAATGGTTACATTTTGTAATGTGTTCACACAATGGTGGTGTCCTGCATTAACATGTCTCAAAATACAGCATCGTCCTGTATTTGTGTGCAGCTCAGTTGTATTTGATTCCCAGAATGATTCATTCTTCATAACAGTAATGTATGTTGTGAACATAAAACTAAATGTACCAAATAATTATCAAAATAGTAATAAAGAAAAAGGTGTGCTTAATAAATGTTCTAAAACCTCAGAAGCCCAATTTTCTTGTTGTTGAGTTATAGGGAAATTTGTAATCTAATTCCTTATTTATGTGGGGGGCGGTTTGTTGACTTGGACAATAAAGACCCAGAAACTGAATATTGGATGTTGTCCATTTACTATAAATGAACAATTCACTTGAAAATCTCAAAACAAGTGCTGGCCTTCAGTGGGCTTGTAACTTTGTCCTTTGCCTGAGCCCACTCACCCTCCTGCTCATTAAAACCCACACAAACATACTCTTCTCCCTGTATCTCAAGGCGTTATCAAATGCCATCAGAGGAAGAAGCAAAGCAGCGGTAGCATATTTATTACGCCTGCTCCTCACTGTTCCTGTGTTTGGCAGGTGGCGAAAGCCCATGGGGGAGCAAATGCCCACAAGCAGGTGGCTTACCTGTGGGCGAAGAGCCTAGGAGGAGAGGCTGCTGTGAAACTGCTGAATAAGTTTGGGCTGCTGGACACCGCCATTGACTTTGCAGCTGACAACTGGTAAGCTTATATAAGCCTTTTTTTGGTTTGTGAGAAACAGAATAATTTAACACTATCAGCATTGCATTTTTCCTGTTTTTGCATTCCCAAAAGCAGCCTCGGTGTTCAAGAGCTCACAGCCTGATTAATACATTTAGAAAAACTGAAACCAGTCCTTCAGAATACCGCACCAATGTTCTTTCCCAGCAAAAAGATCAGATTTAAGTCTTTAGGTGTTTTTGTTTCTTGAAAGCTGTACTGCCATAGCAATAACACTGTACCCAAACAACTCGAGTCTTACCAAACAGATTTTAGGACATGTAAATAGTCAGAAATGTAATTGCATAAAAATGTACAATTAAACTTTCAAGAAGATTCAATTAGCTATAAGATTTTGTCTAGAAGCAAAACGACACTTTGCTAGTAAGATCTATTTGATGCACAACTGTTTATCATTTTTAAAAAGTACATGTATTCTCATTATTTTAAAATCCCATTTCATTTCAGTTCATTTGACTTTGCATTTGAATTGGCACGACTCTCAATGAAGCACAAGATCCCAGATATCCACCTGAAGAATGCTATGTTCCTCGAGGATGAAGTATGATACTACCTCCCTTTACAAATTAATGATCATACTCTACTTAATCTGCATAACATTCAGGTGAAGCCTGGACTGTTCCATTTCCAATAAGGTTGTTCAATATGTTCGAAGACTCTTCTCTCATAGCATGTGGTTTTGTTTCTAAATAACATCACAAGATTTTACAAAAAAACTGACATTTATGTAAAATTGATACTACATGTATACTACGTGTATTTTTATTTTTAAGGGGAGATTTACAGAGGCTGAGACAGAATTTATAAAAGCTGGAAAACCAAAAGAAGCTGTATTAATGTAAGTAATACACTGGAGGACAGATGAAAGGTTTCCTGAAATAAACCAATGCTCTCTCATATGGTTTTGTCTTCATTAGAGGTCTGGTTTATTCAAGCCATGAATGGCATTGTCGACATTACTTAAAATCCAGTCTGGAGCTTATAGTTTCTGAATATCTGTTTTTATTTATTTTTTAATGGTTTGCCAAACTGCCATATGGATGTAGACCTTTGAAAAGATTGATGTGTAAAATATAATGTCACTTCAGAAGGTAGATTGGATTCATTTTGTTTATGTTGTTTCAGCTAAGAATCACAACATATTTTTATTTTCATGTTCCCTTCTAATTTTGAATTGCAAATTGTTAAGCAATGTGTGGTTCACTGGGAAAATAATTGTACTGTGAAAACAACTACATGTGTCCACCAAAATATCCGCTATTACACCACTCTGATACAATTTCTTCTTACACTGCATAAAGTGAAGAAATAAGCAAATGTGGACTGCTGATATTCTCACCAATAACATTACAAACTACCAGCTTAGACCCCAACCAGGCCTGATGGATATTAGCCTGCCTAAGTTTAAACCATTAAACTCTGGACCGTAGGATCGATTGTGGTCTCTGTGTGGAATCGTATGGTGGTTTGTTCTCTCAGGATTTCTCATATGTATGTTGTTGATTTATGTTGTATTTATTTTGCAAGAGTGCACAAATCAATTAATGCTACATTGTAATGTACTGTATGTATTGGTGTTTTGCAAAAGGTATGTCCACAACCAGGACTGGAATAGTGCTCAGAGGGTGGCTGAAGCTCATGACCCAGACAGTGTGGGAGATGTGCTGGTGGGACAGGCCAAATTCGCCTTTGATCAAAAGGAATACCAGAAAGCAGAGGCCTTCCTTCTCAGAGCACAGAGACCAGAGATAGCCATCAAGTACTACAAAGTAAGAATGGCTTTGCTTTTAATGTAATCAGATATTAAATACAAGGTTTCCACATGTGTAGCTGTAAGCCATTGTGTCTTGCTTTAACTTTTTTGTTTATGGTTGGAAAATAGATATTTGAAAAGCTATTCCTCAAAGATGAATGCTGTGGAATGTGGTTTCAATTCATTGTTAAAATGGCATATTAGGCTATGTCTAGGCATATAGGCTATGTGATAAGCTCTAGCAGAGTCGTGGTTCTATAAATAGTTATTGTTTCCTCTATCTTAGGATGCGGAGATGTGGAGTGATGCTATGCGGATTTGCAAAGAGTATGTTCCAAATAAACTAGAACTCCTACAAGAGGAATATGAGAAGGAGGCTGTGAAGAAAGGATCCAGGTGAGAAATAAAAACATTTCTCAGAGCTGTTATTATCAACTTTTAACTATAGAAATAAAAAAAGCTTTTCAATTCAGATTTCTAACAAAGATACTCATGAATTCATTAGATGTTTTTAACTTTTTGTTTTGATCTGCACACACTGCCTTGCCAAAGTATTTGCCCTTTCTAGTGATGCCCCATTTTGTTGAATTTAAAATTGTCTACACAATTTTCAAGTGAATATTTTAATTTATGGGCTCCAGATCCCCTGCGACTGAATTGGAAGCCATGATTCGAAAGTGGATGGCTAGGTTTATATTTTTATTTAAAACATCATTACTCAAACTGAACACTTTTATGAATGAAAGAAATTAAATGTCAACACAAACTGCCAAAAAACCAAATGCTTTTGACATGAATACCATTGTATGTACTAGACTGTTAAAAGTGCATTTAACATTCACCACTAATCTGTGGCACTAAGTAATCTATGAAGTTCCTTTATTAGAATATAGCTGCTTTTATCCTAAATTAAATCCGTAATGGGAACCTCATTAAAAGAAAGGCACTCACTGAGTCAGTCCCAGCAGATAACCTTCCTGTTTTTTAATGACCTGTGGGGAAAACATCAAAAGGTCTTACAAAATAAAAATAATTTTGCATAGTCTATAGAGCTCAGAAGTTTATTTCTGTTCTTGTGTACCATCTGACATGTACAACTGGGAACTCTTTGCCACATGGACCCAGCAAAAATGACACTTTATGCAACTCTATTCACTTATTAAACATATTGATCACAAAGTTAAGTATAGATGGGTAGATTCTCACAGGTATAGGGCTAAAAGTGTTTACATATACTGTAGCTGTTTTTTATATTAAATACCTTTATTTGTGAGGATCCCCAATGTTTCCTTCTGATTTTTTTTTATGCATCATAGGGTACACCCATACAATCTCTAGGGCTGATGCAGCCATTCTAAATATACAGCCCAACAGAAAAAAAATAGATAAGCTCAATAAAGAAAACAAGTAGCAAAAATTGCATACGGATCTGTACATACAGATGCAGCCAATCAAAATGCATGGTACAAACCCGTACCCCACGCAACTACGCATGAGCCACCGCGCCATACGTGATTGGCAGAAAAGGTTAAAACAATCAATTTTCACAAAGTATATAAATGTACAGCAATATGGTCAGAAGGGGCACATAAAAACGTTTCTGAAATAACCACATGTAAGACTTTGATTCTTAAAATGTTTAGGGAGAAATGGAATACTGGTGTGTATTTTTTCTTTAAACTACCAAGACTAGCCATATACAGTACAATTTACATAATATGTTTATGTTCCTAAATTAATATCTGTTATGATATAAGGCATGGTGAATCGGAGATTCTCAAGACTTACTATGATTGGAAACGAATATGTGATTGGATCAACGAAATGCTGTGGTGTTACTTTTTGTCAATGAAAAAATAAAGTATTTTCTTCTACAAAGACGATTACAAAGAATGTGGACCAGGGTAATACTTTGAGTTTACAGCTTGTCCAAGGTCATTCATTATTAATACTATTAGTAATATCTTCGGTAAAGACTTTGATGCATAAAATATTTCTGAATAATTAAAATATTTATGATAAAGGTGGTAGGTTGTGTGCTTTTGTCCAACTAAGCAATCTTGCTTTCATAAAATATACCAACAATGTATAATGATTAACATGCTCTAATACACAGTTTAAATTTAAAAGTCTAAAGAGTATACAACTTAAATTCGTAATTGAATAAAGATTGTCCCTCAGCAGTGATCGGGATTCGAAACCGGGTGTTTTCTGGTGACAGCTCAAATGCTGTACATGAGAGATTAAGCTTTATTAGCTCCACCTGGCGGTTTTACCAGGTGATTCCGGATACTATTAACATAATCTAATTTGCATATGGCAAAGCACGGTATGGCGCAAAATGATGCGTTATGATGCATTTTGATTGACACGCCCACCGCGTTGTACCACAGAGTACCCCGCTCGTTTTGAATGGCTGCATCTGTATAACTAAGTGCACTGTTTTTCTTTCTCCGATATTTGTTCAACTGCTGAATGGATAGTCACGTCAAATATGCATTTAACTCCTTTCAGGAAGAGCAGCGAGGATGTTTCATCGTGGAAATTACAGGCATTTTTTATATCATTTAAAATTGCGCCCCAGCAATAATTATTATAATCAATTTTCTAACCGCTTCTTCCAGTTCATGGTCATGGAGCTGGAGCCTATCCTGGCAAGCAACGAGCGCAAGGCAGGGTACATCCTGAAGGGGGGATACCTGTCCAATTCAAGCATAAATACAGATACACACACTCATGCCTAGGGTCAGTTTTCCCAGAAGCCAATCAAGCTGCCAGTATGTTTTTGAACTGTGGGAGGAAACCAGAGCACCAGGAGGAAATGCAACAAACACAGAGAGGACATAGTGCCCTAGTGCTGCAAGCTAACCACAGTGTCCCCATGCTGCCAGATTTTCTGTTTATACAATATATTAATTTCTTATGATCTTAATTATAATATCTAATATTATTTTGATAGTATTATATAAGAGATCACACTGTTGTCTTTACACTTATACACATGAATAAGCTACATGATTACTAGAGCATATATATCAGTTTTCCATCAAGGTGTTCTGTAATGTTTGTTAATGGTTGTTAAGCTGTGGTAGCATGTGCAGCATAAAAAGCACTAAAGTTGAGTGGGCATATCATATCCATTGAGTGCTTCTATAAATGCTTTTGTAATCATGATTTTTTTTTATAGTGGGCCTTCATTAACAATAACCGTGTCTTTTTTTTCCTAGACTAACATTTTTTTCCAATTTATAAATTTAGAGGATATGCATCCGTTATATGTGTAAATTTAATGACTGATTTTAGAGGTTAGTTTTGTTCTGTATGTAGATGCATTACATCTCTATTATTTCATGGAAAGGCCTATAAATGCGTTTGATTTCTGATCAACGTGTAGGAATGTAGAGTACAGTCTTGTGTTGCTTAGTGGCTGTTTGTGTTACACAGGGGCGTTGAAGGAATGGTGGAGCAAGCCCGTGAGTGGGAGCAGTCAGGGGAGTACGCCAGGGCAGTGGAGTGCTATCTAAAAGTCAAAGACACCAACAACACACCTCTCTTAGAGAAATGCTGGATGAAGGTAAAACCTGTGAAACTTTCTTTGTAAATGAATGAATGATTCACTCTTTACCTTTTAGTCCTTTCCATTTTAAAATAGCCAAATCTATTTAATCGGATAATAAACAACTTTTTTATTTTGAGAGAAAAAGTGAAATTGTAAGTATAAGTACACATTAAGGTTTAATGGGCTAATAGAGGAGATGGGCAGCATATACTATTCTGGGTATTCTGACTTGATTTTTGACAATTGCAGTAAAATTTCTTATGCACCTTTTTTATTAGAAATATACAAATATACCTTTATTTCATGGTTCATTAATATACTGTATAATATTTATTAAAGCATATAAAATACAAACACCACCAATCATAAGCAATTGACCTACCCCCATAGGGCACCATTGATATTCCTGAATTGTAAACCAATGTAGTAATTATTTTTACCTTGTTTTATTAACATTTCCCCCTTTCTGGAGGGAAAGGCCAGTATTTCTGATTTTACAAAATTGCCCTTTTGTCCATTTTGCAGATTTTGTGCATTAAATCTGAAGTCTGTTAAAGCGAATTCCATTAAACTGAGGGTTCACTGTAGTCATTAATCGATTTTTAGGTTTTTTTTTGCCAAGCAGAATTCAGTTCTTGTTGGCTTTTGTTTATATTGTGCATATGGAATATTTTGTTATTCTAGGCTGCTGAGCTGGCGATTAAGTTCCTCACTCAGGAAAAGGCAATGGATGTGATTCATATGGTTGGGCCACGACTTGTTCAGATACGCAAGTACAGTGCGGTGTGTATGGTTTAAATTCTAATTACTGGCTTGCCTTAGATTGCTACAGTGAATAGATTTCATATCACATACATTTATAGTAAATCAATTAAATTAATTATTTTTCTCTTTCGTTCACTGTGTGTAGTTACTCGTAATGGCCATATTACAATATATTCGTTTGTTTTTCCAAAATGACATTTTGCATCACATTTTTTACCTGTTCATTACCATGCATCAAACTCCAGAGTTCCTACTGAAATTCAAAAGTCTTTTTTTTTCAGGCTGCCGAGCTTTACCTTAACATAGACCTCATTAAGGAAGCTATAGATGCATTTATTGAAGGAGAAGAATGGAACAAAGCCAAGAGAGTAGCCAAGGAACTTGACCCGAGGTAGGCTCTTCTCCTCATTTTCATGCTTACAAAGATAGACAATTAGAGATAGTCATTGGTACACCATTATGTAAGATGTTTTTGCTTGAGACTTTACCTGCACAGTAATTAGAATGTATTAGTGTTACGACCCCAAGTGTCTAGGGGAAAAGGGGTGTAACATTTAGGATAATTTTTTTGGAAGCAGGGGGGTTTTGGTGAGGGACTAGGAAGCGTGATAAGGGTAAGGGACTAGAGTGGTGCCAAAGAAAAGAAAATAAACAAAATGGAGCTGGCTAGGACAGTGAGGGAAAGCTAATCTGACTACAAAAGAAAACCCAAAACACACAGTCTTCGGCATCTTCAACACCCTAGCTAACCTGCACTGACTACCCAAAACCATACAAGACAAATGGCACTCACCCGTACTAAACTAGTGTACTAATACAAAATCAACTAAGTGTGTAAGTGTACCCAACAACCTAAGCTAACCTTATATACAAAAGTTTACACAAAAACACAAGTGAACCAGGAATACAAATAAAGGAAAACAAGAGTAATCAACAGGAGCAGGGTACAAAAGAACACAAAAGTTGAACATGTAACACTGGGGCAAGGTAATGGCAAAACAAGGATGAACACACAAACAAACGAAAGTACAAAGAAACTAACGTAAAAACCAACAAAACAACAAAGCCGAAGCTATACGAAAATACACACACACAAAGCAAAACAAACCAACAAACAAAGCCGAAGCAATAACCAGAAGCGAAGCGAAGCGAAGCGATAACCAAAACCAAACGGGACCAAAGTCAAACGAAAGGCCTCTTCTTCCTGAAAGCCTCCATGTTATATAGTGAATAAAATTAGTTCTGATTGGCTGAGGCTGATTGATGATGACATCATTTTGAAACAGTGGTGTGATGGTTGGCCAATGGGAAAGGGAGAACAATCAAGGGTCAGCAGTGTGGACATAACAGAAAAAACACACACAGAACACACACTGGGACGTAACAATTATTATGACATGTATTAATGATACTACTGCAATGCTAAAACACATATCTTGTATATTATTAGTAAGTTAAAATCATGATAACTTTGATAATCAATTTCTTGTAAGACTCTGCATTTTTCTCTAAAAAAGTTTTACATTAATATCACTGTGTTCACTGAATTTTAAAATATCGTAATGATCATAAATTTAATCCTGTGTGAATTTGCAGACAATAACTAAGAGGACTGAGCAAATAAATCTTATCCTCAGCCGTACTGTAGATCAAACTAATTTTAGAATCAATCTAATGAAAATATTTACTTTTGAAGTTGCCATAACATAATTTTGTTATATACATCCAAAAATACCACTTTTGTGTAGGCCAATTGAGTTATGAGCAGTGAATTTTAGATGATCACATTTATATTTTGCCAGGTCTGATATAAAATTTATTTTAAACACATTCTGTAAGTATTGCATTTCTCTGCATTAAACACAGTAGACTATTGCACCCCTTCAGAAAGAAGATCCTGCATGTGTGTTTGTTTAGTTCAAGTGGTTGGAGAGAAGTTTTCATGACTGATAAGCAAATAGCTTTCTCCTGTTATCACCTCCAAGTTGAGTGGGCGAGAGTTATCTCTTCACTTAGCATGGGAGAGAAAAATCTGCAGTCACACCCTAAGAAAGAACCCTAGTGTCTGTGGTAAACTTCACACCTCTGGATAATTGTTAGACTATGTGAATTAAATAAATTATTTTTAATTACAAAAGAGTGACTGAAGCTCTGTCCTCTGGAAAAATATTCCTTATAGTGCGTATTTTTAACATAGATGTAGATGACAGATTATAAGTGTCAAATGTGAGCAAGGTGGACCAAGCAGGGTGCCAAAGATACTCTGGAGGTAGACCAGAAATAAATATTTTAGAAATTAAGTCAAAATGTCTTGAAGTGGCTTAAAGCAGAACACTTTAGTTGGAACAGTGTAGCTTTTTGAAACTCACTCAATTTTTTTTTAACTGGCATTTGGCAGACTAGCAAATAACTCTGCTCAATGTATGTAAAGAATCATTTTAAAACAGTATTGTGGATTTGACACTTACTTATACTGTGTGGCTTGGACAATCATAGATGTACCTGTGATGCAGGGTTGAATGCTGGAAGTCCTCTCAATTCCAATTTGCAATTCCAAATTGGACTTAGCTTAAGTACCTTTCTACTTGTCTGATGGTAGTAGCCAACTAGTCCATGTGAACGGGCTTGCCCAAGAAATCAGCTACAAAAATTCCAAATAAAAATGGACAAAAGTCCCAAATTAAAATAAAACTTTTTATGATATCTCAAAAGCAAGTGATAATTATTGTCTTAAGGTTAAATCTGAACTTTGAGTTACCCTGCAACCACAAT